TCGCGTAGCCTTCTCAGTTCGTGCACGTACCATCGCGGCCACTTGCTCTTGAGCTATCATTAAGCAGAGGCAGATCACCGTCATCATCAGGGTGAAAATCGTGTCGAGTACGTGGGGTCGCAGAAGTACGACCCCCCCCCCGAAATGAGATCCTGGCACGACCCCCTATAACAGAGCAAATTAATTCAATTAATTAAAATAAATCCTGCAGAACAAATCAAAAAAAAAAATTCCTGCAAAATAATGTTATGGACGCCTCATCTTGTCATCTATGCACTGCCTTTCATCGCTGCACACTTTTGTGTATTTACTGAAATATCGACTCGAGGAAAGAGGCATTAACTTTGTGTGACCTCAAAGTCAGGTTCGTTCAGAAATGCACAGAAATCCTGAAGGCACGGGGTTGCGATTTAATCTTAATTCCTGCTTGAGTATATCAAAACAGCCGAGTGTATCAATCAGGCCGATTCAACGGCAGCTGCGGCGCGATTGTCACTGGGTCAGATTTGCTGAAATCCCGAAAAAAAAAACGTCGAAATCTACACCCTCGATGAAAAGGTTGCATTCCTCCATTTCATAACCTTTGAAGCAGTTTGAGGTAGGGTTAGATAGAGCTGGATTTCGCGTTTCCAAGAAGTATTGAAATTGCTCTGAAAGCCTTCCATGCAGAAAGATAGGGTCTCTCAAATTTCGTCGAGTAAATGTCGAGGACGCGGAAATTTTCACGCGAGTTTTTGCCACTTCAAGAGCAATATTTCTCTAATGTCGTAAGGTCCTGAAAAAGGGAAGATAGTTTTGGAAAGCGGAAGGTTTGCGCTTCTTAACCGTCTGTTTCGCTTTTTTCTAGAGCTTCTGGTTGGAGAGATAATTGCGTCGAGGATCTATCGAGGACGGATCCGGCCACCTAAAAACCGCTCCCTCCTTCACCATTGCAAGTGTGATTCGTTGGCAACGCTCGGAATGTGTCAAGAACGAAATCTTTCAACGCAAGCAATTAAGAATAGGGGCAATCGTCATCATCGATTTCGTATTGGTATAAGCCATGCATGCGTCCTCCACTCACAGTTGCAGAATCGATTGAAAGGTGTTATATGGTGGGGACCTTCTGAACGAAACTGTATTGTAGTAGACATAGTGTGTTGTGCTATTCCTGTAACCCAAAACAACTTCATTTGCCCAGCGCTTTTTCTTCACGGTTGTCGTTTTTGCGACAGGGTCCCTAACAACAGTGTCATTCTCAGCGAGGTATTAAGGGAGAAGGAGCGAGCGATAGGCAGAGGAGGTGCCTTTGCAGCGCGTGCGCACATGTGGCAGTCTTCTTTGCGGGGATGCACTTTCATTCTTTGTACTGCCTTCAAATACGCCCTTCTCATGAAGGTGGAGGAATGGAGCGACTGAACCTGCAAAGAAAATTTAATATCATGTTTTTTCAGATATTTTCATTTTCTGCTGCGCTATACCCTATTACCTATCTGCACCATGATACCACTTCTGTTACTGACCCCAGAGAGTACGACCCCCCATGGACCAGCCCAACAGGTACGACCCCCCTGTCGAGGATTTCCTCGACCGATATGTCACCCTGGTTGCTCATCAATCCTAGTCGCGCATTTCAAGCCAATGCCTATCTTCAGATAGTCAGGCGAGAGCGGCACTCGATTGGCATAGAGCATCGCTTGGCTTCAAGACACATCTTGCCCTTAAGCGCATACTGGAAACACAGCTGTTCGAGAGGAGGGTTACCCGGCGAGCGTTACATTCACTCTTAGCAACCTTGCAGTCTTTTCGCGCCTAGTCTACACTACCATCAGCGGCGAGATTACTCCCGTATCGAAAGTTTTTTACCTTTCCTTTTCTCCTTTATGCTGTCCAAGATTGCGTTTTCACTGTCCTCGGCGCGAAGCCATATGAACTTGCCAATTCCTCATCGCGTTCCACGTGGACGTACACCCTCAGCAACACCTCCTGCTAGGTCACCTTGTATCCGGCGTTGCTTTTACCCGCTTCCCGGGCCTATCAGAGCGATCTCGTACAGAAGTCGTAAGGAAAGGAAAAGTCTTTCTGCGCGTTCCTGCCATAGGCGCGCCCCCCCGTTGAACATGAATCTAATATTAAGTTTGACAGCAAGTAGCCTCTATGTTGGGTAGTTTTTGTGTAGCCAATCCTAGAATTTACTACGCCTATTTTGGGCCAACTGGAGGCTGCGTACACCCTCCCATTCCGTACACGTTGTTCAACCAGAAAGATCAAAGATCGTTACGTTCCATTCTTCTGGATCAAGAGCACTGACCGAGGAATAGATAGCCCGACGCTTGTTCAATCAGGAAAGGTAGGTGAGGGTTCGGCGCTTTGTCTCTGTACATTCATCATATCTTTGACATAGCGGCAAAGTGGAGGTGGATTCCGCTTGCTGACCTTTCAGCCATGAATCCCGAAACTGTTTCTGGTAGTCTGGAGCAGATTGAGATCGGCTCCTGCAGCGTCGTGTCGACCAGTCGCTCGTACAGCTTAATAGCATAAACAGTCAGCTTGATACCGCGGTAGTTAGAGCAGTCCTTCGCGTCACCCTTCTGCTTGAAGATGGGGACGATAGTACTTGTTCTCCAGGCATCCGGCATCCTTCGTCGCTCCTTTACGTACGATTAAAGGATAAAGGATAAAGCATTTGCCGTTGATCAATCCCTTTTTGGGATGCGGCACGCATTCTACTTCCATTTGTACATTTCGTAGTGGCGTTTGAATGCGATGTGGCCTATACAATGACTTGCGGGGGCCAGCCGATGTACAAGTCAGTGTTTTTTATCCCCAGACAAGCTGGTACCAATTAACCGACCCCGGAGAAGATGGAAGGTGGCCCGGGCGACTCACGACCCAGGATTTGATCCCTGGACCGCTCGCGTGGTAAGCGGCGCCACTTGCCACTACACCACTTCCACCTCCTTCCGTTATTACGATGAGAATCGGGACCAGCTCACTCATCCTAAGTTCTCCGCAGCACCTTGCCACGCCCCGGTGGATAGACTACCCATCTGGATCAATCGCTTTTTCCAAATTGCATCTTTCTCCTACACGGGCGAAAATCAAAGTAAATACGTTCATCCTCTTGCGGAATTGCTAGGCATTGGAAAGTTTGTCTGCATTAGTCTGCCCGCACCTTTGACATTCGTCGATTTTGGCTGTAGGATGCCCTCTTCGCACTGAACGTTGATTCTGATGCTTTTGGATAATGTGGAGAAGACGGGAGTAGTGCTCTGAACGCTAGGTAGGGGTAAGACGGTGGCTTCATTTACACGGCGCCTCACCTCTCACTGCGACGCGATACAGGGAAATGTAGGAACGCCAGGGCTACAAGAGAGCGGCTTTAGATTTCAGTAGAGAGAGAGAGAGAGCGCGTGGCAGGGTGAACAGTTGATCACGTTTGCTTGCATTATAATCGTTGAGCTCAATCCCTACAGTCATAGGTCCTATCCTTCCATGTTTAGGGAGGGAAAAACTTAGCTACTTTTGATCAAGTTAGGCATTTCAGTATGTCCGAATTTCAAGCCGTTTTGTTATGCGGTGGTTCGGGAAGTCGCATGACAGAATTATGCGACGGAATGCTCAAATGTCTACTACCTATAGCCGATGTACCGATGTTTTGGTATCCACTGAATACCTTGGTATGTTCAGGAGTAAAAGGTGAGCTGATAGCTACCAGGTTGGATTTTTATAATTGGTTCGGTTCCTTTTCTATTGCCGCTCTCGAAAAACACTGTCGTCGCTTGCAGATATCAAGCTTTTCGTTCGGGGGAGGATGGCAGAGCTGAAGTGAGCAGTACTAGTTTGCAACACCGCTTTTCATTCCCCATCAGTAACTATAGATAGATTGGTCCTGTTGTGCGGTAGATCAAAGAGGACTGGGGACAGCAGAACGGGCTTCGACACATTGCCTGCTCAAAAGATAACGGTAAAGATAACGGTGAGAATTGCGAGTTTTTCCACTGTTTTGCATAGAAGATCATTGAAGGATTTCTGCATGCAATACAGTGTCAGCTGCTAGCGGTATCGAACAACGAAAACAGGAAAGTTTCAAAGCATGCTAGAGATATCATGTTCGACTTTCTTGGAACCTTATGTCTGTGCGGTCACCAGTTGGATTGCGCCGCTTCCCGCGGACGGAGTTCCGCGGCGAATATGGATAGCAGCGGCGTAAATGTTTTCAACTTTGCCGCATCGATTAATAGTGTAGGTACCTAAAAGGCGATAACAGATTCGGGCAAGTGCGCTACAAGTTACACTCCATGCCATTTCACTTTTCTCAGCTTTTCAAAATCAAAAACATTTCTAAATAAATCTGCTTCGAAAAAATTGCGCAACAGTTTGACGAATGAATGGCGGAGTTTGCGTTTGGATTGAGATTAGAAGGTAGCCCATTAGATTCAAGATAGAAGTGGTCGGTGGTGCCGGATTGAAAAAAAAACATGAGAGACGGCTCAGAACCCGAGAAATAAGACCCCTTGATTGCCGTTGATTTCCGCACTGATGCGACTCATCGGTGCTGCCCTCTTCAACGCTAACGCTCTCTCTGCTAAACGGCTAGAGACCTGCGGCGAGTGGTTAGCCAGTCGGTGGGCGTGCCGCGTCGATAGCGCGCGGGGAGGCCATGCTAGATCGCCGGGCATATCCTTCGCTGCGAATTGCGTGTCGGTCGCACCCCAGGAGATCCGCCTGTCTTTCCACTAGGCAATTTTCTCCTTCTTCGACCTTCGACCGTGTCGTGGAATCCTCTAATTCTCGCGAACCGTTGCACTATCACAACTATTTTCAATCATCGCACTGTCACAACCGACCGACTAATCCGTAATTAGTTTCCACAAATTCTGAGCAGTATTGTATGATGCCTCCGGCATCATGTGCCATTGACCTTTCGAATGCTTCACCGCCATGGAAGGTTGTGGGGAGGTTGTTGTCCTATTTCGCAAAGCTTTGAATTTTTAAAGCACCTCATTTGTCTTGCACATCTTCAACCTAGCGCTCGGTTTGATAGTTTTTTTCGACTCCCTGAGCAGCAAAAGGAAACGAGTGATCACGAGATAAGAAGCCACCATGATGTCTTCTGACCAGCAAGGGGAAGCTGGCTCGACCAGTTTCTTGTTTTTTTCCAGGGCCTGTTCTTTACCATACTGTTTGTTTTTTTTGTGTTTATGCGCTTTTTTTTGATGAAGAAGGGTTTCTGTTTCAGGTCTCCTGTTCACAATCGCTGGATTTGCACAGATGACGATTTGGGCGAAAAACAAACATCGTGCGTACAAGAAGGAGTTTCCCGATTACCCAAAGGAGCGAAAAGCGATTGTACCCTTCCTTATTTGAGAGGATGTTCGTTTGTTTGTGCTTGTGAACGCTTCTCTATTGCCCTCTTCTTGCACCACTGATCACTGGAATTATTCATGCTTCTGCTTGTTTTTCCTGTGTGCACTTATTAGATTCGGTTGTACTTTCACCGGTGTTACAGCAGTGCGTTTGAATCCACCAAACACTTTTAATTTATTATATTTCGTTCGTGTTTTTGTTGACTTATATATGATAAATTTGTTAGCGCAAATCCATTCTCGATGTAGAACAGAATTCTGGTTGTAACCCAGTTGGAATACAGCAACGAAAGTCTTGTTTTGCATCATACAGCAAGGGCCTGTTTTCTGCAAGTGTGTTAATGGTCAGTGCCAACTCTGTGTGCCACGTTGAGCGAAGGTCGCATTCACCACACCAAATGGAGGGGTGGGCGAGGGGAAGGCGGGAGAAGCGTAAGACAGGACCAGTGCGAACAGAAATCAAAGGTTACACATGATAGTGGAGAACAGCTTTTTTTTTTTCAACAGATCGACGACAGTGCAATTTATGACCCTTTTGGTTGTGGATTTTAAGTGGAGGCTTCACAAGGCATGAGTGGCGCAAAATAATTTCAACAATATTCAATGCCTGAGAAGATCATCCGCTGTGATTAATATGGTTGACACTTCGACAGAAGGGGCGGGTACTCGATATTGCTGCTTATTATTTATTTGGAATACGTAAGAATTTGGCCGCTTTGGACGTCGTAGAGCATTTGTATCTGGACCGCTTCTTATTCAGCTCGCGGGTAATTCTCACACCGTCGCAGGGTCTAGTCTGTCTTCTTGGACCGTCAGGTCAACCCTACTGTGGCTAGTGACAATCGTACTTGTGAGTTTGTGGTAGGAGGGGTCGTATGGGAGTTGGGTAGCGCCACTGGGTAGAAAACTCCTACTCCCACCCCTTTAGAAATGAGGTGGATTATAGGTAAAGTTGGGGAGAATAGGGTAAATTTGTTGAATTTGCGGAAGTAGGTGAGAAATATTCACCGTGTTTCATCGTGCCTATCGTTGGCTTATATCCCCCCCCCCCCCCCGCTCGACGGCATTTATTTGGAGGAAAAAGTGGGCGGAGTTTGGTGGGTTGAGTGGTACCAGAATTAAATACTATAGAGAGGAATATGGTGGTCGAGGGTCGAAAAAGGGGTCGTACCAAGTCCACCTTGGGGGAGGGGGTCGTAAAAATCTTTGAAAAAGTAACAACGATAGACTGACCCTGCTTGGACGTCATCTCATCCGACCCTGTTTTTGAAGTTTAAGCCTTTCCCGTGGATTAATCGCGTAGCCTCCCTGTAATATGCAACGTCAATATTCGTGGCAAGCCAGTCAAGCGAGGCGTTGAGGAAAATTTGGAAATACGACCCCCCCCCCACCACCCTCCGCCGGAGAGGCCGAAGTCCATGAAACAACCCTCTTCAAAAGCCGAACTATGAAAAGGTTGAAAAGCTTGTTTAATTCTCCCCCAAAACTGCTCATAAAAAAGCCCTGCTACCCCACCGCCCACAAAAAAATTCGTTTAAGAAGTACAAAAGTGAAAAAGTCAAAGAATAATCATTATTGATGAGTCCTACCAAACGAGCAAACGAGAAACAGACCAGAAAACGACAAACTAGTCACTAAAAATGGCATACCATGACAACATCTGTTCTTTATTTATTTCCTCCACAAGACTTACCAAATTCTAGTACTACACAGATTGTGGTTCTCAATTTGCACGTTCCGCCCTTTCGTTGTTGAGATAGAACGCTTTTACCGGCCTCCCGCCACGGTGTTTGACGTGACTTCTGGCGTGACCGGAGCAGCTTATTTACTATTGAAATTTGAAACAAATATTCAAATGATTATAACTTTCTTCAAATATGACGAATTTTCAATCTGAAAGCAGATTTGGAAGTTTTGTGAAGAGCTTTTTCTAATCAGTACTGAAATTACAGGAAGTTATAAGAAATAACAAATTTAGATCAAATAACGAGGAAAATTCGAGACGAGCACGAGTTTTTACACTTTCCGGAGCAATAACTTGCTTCATTTCCGTCAAATTCAAAAAGTTGATACGTCATACAAAACTAGAAGATTTTCTCTATCAAACGGTCGCTAAAGCAGCTTCATACGTCCAGTACTCAAAAAATGGCCACGTTGAGGATTTTTGCAAAATTAACGAGGAAAATTTGTGATGAGTGCGAGTTTTTTTACTTCCTAAAGCCATAACTCCGTTCAAACTCATCCAATCCGAAAAGTAAATACGCCATCATAAACTAGAAGATTTGCTCTATCAAACGCTTACTAGAACTGCTCCAAACGTCCAGTATTAAAAAAACGGCTACGTTGAGGATTTTCGCACGAGTACCGCCGAAAGGTACTTTTTCGCTACATTGGCACTATTTCAACGGCTGTATATCCTTTTAAGGGCGATTATGTACTAAAGTAAGAGCAGATTTGGAATCACTGCTTTTCTCTTTCTAAGAAAAGTGATTGATTAGCGTTTCTCAACTTTAAAGGTTACATGTTTATAAATTTAACCCTGAAGAGTCCGTTAACGCAATGTTGAATGGTGTACACCTCCCTGTAAATGCGCACGGACACTTTCAGAATTCTCTCGATTGTTCCTGAATTGAGGTTGTTTGTCCAAGGAGCCGTAGTTGAAGCGCAACAACTAGTACTCCCTTTCTCGGATGCGCCGTGTACCTCACAT